ACACCTTTAACACCATCAAGCAACAATATCAACAGTATAATCCAATCTGTAAATGTTGAATGTAAAAGAAAACGTCATAATGTTACTGCCTAGCAAATATCCTTGGGAAGAGATTTAGGAATTAAGATTACTGCAGAAAAGATGATAGTCTTGACCTTCTTAAGATGCAGTTCTTATCCAAAGTATCTAAACACCTCATCTTCTGATCTTAACATACACAGGTAAGTCTATTTAAGGGGCGATGCTGCTTGACTTATTTAAATGATCAGGTCCATATTCATATCATTATATTATATAATGTATGAGTTAGAATTAGATAATGTTGAGTAACCCCTTACTCAGTGCAGGAACTATCCCTTGTAGCTGGCCATTCAGCCATATTTGAAAGCTTCAAGTCAAGGACAGTCCATGTAGGCAGGCAGATCCACTGTTTAACAGCTGTTATGCTCATAACATTTCTTGTAATGTCTAGCCCGTATCTCTTTTTCTTTTCATTTCAAGTATTGGTCGTTGTCCTTCTGGTTTCAACAAAACAAAAAACAAAACAAAAAGTTACAGGACATCTTTTTTTATACCACACTCACCTTTCCCATTAGTCTTCTCTTTTGCAAGCCAAATTGTTTCCAGTTTCCCATGTCCTTCATATATTTGGTTTCCAGATCATCTAGTAGCTCTTCTCTGAATAAAATACAGTCAAATAATTACCAGAATGCAACAATTCTATCAACACAGCCCAGATTGCATGAGCTGTTGTATCACCCTACTTGCTCATGTCCTGCTGGGGATCCAGTAGCATTTCTAGACCATACACTCTCCTGAGCCAGAATGTCCCAGTCATACACTTAAGCATGTGATTTTTCTGATGCAGGAATGTAACTGTCACAGTTAAGGTTCATCCTGTAAAATGTGGTCCTGTGTACAAGAATGTCAAGATCATTTTTAATTGTGATGTTCTCTTTATAGTACTAGGACAGTTCTCCTACTATCTGCTGTTTACTTGCTTAATTACACTTCCAGTCCATCCCCTAAATAATTTGTAAAGATTTTAAATAGCAGCAAGCTGAGGAAGGAACTCTGTGGTGCTTCGCTTTATTTTTAATTTCAATGCAGATTAGAATGATTCTTAAACTAGAACCATCCATGGAGACTGTCAGCTTTCACGCTTAAGACAGGACTAGATTTCACAGCCTCCTGGTTTCTAGGCCAACACCTTAATAGAATAGAATAGACTACTTTATTGGCCAAGTGTGATTGGACACACAAGGAATTTGTCTTGGTGTAAATACTCCCAGTATACATAAAAGAAAAGATACATTGGTCAGGAGTCAAGAATCCTAAGGTACGACACTTAATGATAGTCATAGGGTACAATAAGCAATCAGTTATACTAGGAAATAGTCAATATAAATCGTAAGTATACAAGCAACAAAGTTACAGTCATACAGTCACAAGTGGGAGGGGATGGGTGATAAGGAGTGATGACAAGATTTAACAGTAATAGTAGTGCAGACTTTGTAATAGTTGAACAGGGTTGAGGGAATTATTTGTTTAGCAGAGTGAAAAAACTGTTCTTGTGTCTAGTTGTTCTGGTGTGCAGTGCTCTATAGCGTCGTTTTGAGGGAAGGAGTTGAAACAGTTTATGTCCGGGATGTGAGGGGTCTGTAAATATATTCACAGCCCTCTTTTTGATTCGTGCAGTTAACCTCTACACCAGGGGTCCCCAACCGCCGGTCCGCGGACCGGTACCGGGCTGCGGAACAAGCCTTACCGGGCCGCTGGTTGCTGGGCGCCGCCATCTTTTTTTTGGTAAAAAAGCGCTTCTGGTGAGCTTTTCCGGGTAGAAAGCTCACCGGAAGCGCCTTTTCGTCATAAAAAGATGGCGGCGCCCAGTTGACGCCGGTACCGGGCCGCGGCGCCCAGCTGATGTCGGAACCGGGCCGCGGCGTCGAAAAGGTTGGGGATCCCTGCTCTACACCAAACAAATATATCCCAATTGGAGGAGACTATCCTTATACATTTGCAAACATGGCTCTGTGGCTGAAAACAGGCTCAGTGAGGTGTACACATGATAAGGCAAGTAGATTTAGGACTGTTAAACTTCAGCAAACTGACAACAGTAAGCAACCTTCAAGTTAAGTTACTGACTGGGAGTTCACATCTGCTGTACTAAATGGAACTGTCATCTCATGTTTTTGCGAGGAATTGTTTTTAATATACAACATTAAGTATATTCATTTCAGAGAGCCAGAGCCATGATGACTTGGCTCTTCAACCAAGTCTTTGATTAGGGAGAGTGAAACTTCATCATGCAAATGGCTTCCAAATCCAGAAAGCTTTAGCCCTTTCCCTCAACCAGCCTGTGAACAGGCCCCAGCAAAACTATTTTCTGCTCCTGGGTCTGTGTAGTGTTGTCTTCATGTTATCCCCAGCCCATGAGTGAGAAAAGTTTATGTCATCTTTAGCTACGCCTGCACTACAAATACTATTTTTCCTCTTATTCTGGCAGCAACGAATGGCAAATAGAAGAGGTGAAAAATCTGTTACACTTGTATCACTCATTGTTCTGGAAGGAAGGCAGTCAATTCCAGTAGATGCGGGAGGCAGGCTGACATCCAATTTCATGCCAGGACAGTTTTTTTGCCAACTCCATGATGGGTGGGGAGTTCTTTTCAGCAATGGGGAAAGGCCCTTAAAAGAACAAAGAACCATATAAACAGTGTTCAAATTTTCAGCGAAGAACAAAAGGGCAATTGATTTATCTGCACTTATCTTAACAAGAGTCCCAGACACTGGATTATTATTATTATGTTTTGATGTTTTGGAGGTTACCCCAGACTCCTGAGTGTTTGTTAATGAATGGTAAAGTTATATCCTGATTGCATTAAAATGCAGGGAGATTTGCCATCCAGGAGCTTCTTAACCCAATGGATGGAAACTCAGAAATGCTCTTGAGGATGGCAACAAGTCCTGCAAGTATATTTTGTCCTGGCTAGCAACATTTTGTCAAGTATTCTTCACACACAAGATGGAGAGTAAAAAGCAACACAGGAACTTGGGGGACAAAAGATTGGCAGACTCAATTCTCTAAAAATAGCAGCTTTACCTTTTTCCCCCATTTTGCATTCCAATTGACAATAGTGCCCATGCCCACACTAAAAATGTGGTATTTTGGGTTATTCCACAGCAATGATTCACAGATTCTTGGGGATAAAAGATAAGATAAGATGCTGGGTATACAGTAAGAGAAGACCAATTATGGTGCCATCTATAGAAGGGGTTATCATCACATTACTCAGGTGGCAGGAAAGTTTTCAGCATCTCTTTTTTTCCATCTAAATGATTGTCTGGATTTGTGCAACCCAGAAATGGGAGCCCTACATACATGCAGACTAAATCTACTTGGATATATATTTACACTTCAACGAATAGTCGGGGTCCCCCCTTTTAGTTTTCACTCACTCCTGCCTTTATGATTGTCAGTAAATTGGATCTATTTTGAGATTACGACCAGAGATGACCCAGTCCCTCTGCAGATGGAGCTTGAGTCTGTCAAGCTGGGCTTCTCTGTAACTTCAGTATCCCAGTGGATATTTTCAGCTTATGATCTGCTCGCACTGGAAAAAAAAATACAACTATTTGAAGAATGGCAGGAGCAGGTGCCTAGTTAATTCAGCAACTGCCTTTCATTTGAGTTGGGAAAGAAGAGGCTGGGAACTCCGCTTTGTCTGGTGGCTTTGCTAGAACATCCCATCCATGTTACTCAGCTGGTTGCACAATTTAATTATCACTTTGCAAGCCATGCAGTAAGGGTCAGATGACTCCACCAGGGAGTGAGCCAGCAGTTCTGAGAAATGCCTTCTTTTAGTGAGAAGGTTCAAGGAAACCTCCTCTTCCTCGTGAAGCAGCCTGAAGGATGAGCTGGTCCATACGGCATTTATCAACCACAGAGATGGAGAACCACTCCATTATCAGGGCTATGTCAGCACTTCCTGTCAGACAGGAAACCGTCAAAATCCTGTATCAGGGGACCCATTCTACAGGTGAAGTTACAGACACACATTAAAATATGCCTGTGTTTCCTAAAGCTTAGCTTGAAGCACAACCACACTTCTTATAAACAGGGGCAGGGGAAACAGGGTCAGGAGCCAGGTCTAATCATACCTCCCAGGAGATGGCAATTTTCGGGATGCATCCAAGAGCTCAGCTTGTGCTGTTTGGCAGATGTTGAGGGATAGAAGAGCCTGTTTTGGAGAGAAAAGTAGAAGGGACAGTCTTCTTTTTTCAGTCCTGTGATTCTGTGCATTGACCTTTTGTGCCCTCTTGTACAATATGTTAACTCTTTGGCTGATGTCCATGTATTTAACAACAGCCCTTGGTCCTTGGAACAAATGCAGTGTACACTTCAGAGGAGGGTCTCTGAGCAGCTTCACTCATTAAACAAATCTACTTCTCTTCCTGCCTGCAAACTTTGCATTCTTTGAAGAGAAATGTGGTTAGAAATGTAATCATAAAACAATATTTGATAACCAGCATAGGCAGTGATGCCGTTAGATTGTCACCACACCCATGTGCCGTTTCAAGTATTCCAGCCGCTTGGAAACCAGTTTAGATAAGCCCCAAGCAAACACTACACGGCGGCGTTGCTAAGGAATTATAAAAAGATACACCAAGGTTCAAAGCCTATTGGAAAGTCACACACTCTAGCCTGAAAGATTTCAGGTCTGTGGGCCAGCAATAACGAACCAGTGAGAGGAGCACTCTGCACATGGACAAGCCGAACGGATTGTTCACCACATGGGAAGTGCAGTAAGCACAATAAGAATATGATTTAGCTGCAACTTTTGAAGATCTGCAGGCCTCTATGGAGGGTTGGTACTATGTGTGGCTTTGGAGTGCCATTTGAGGCGGCCTGCTATATACTCTTGGCCATATCCTAAAATCATCTTCAGAAGCTCTCTAATTTCATTGGGTATCTGCTGTCCAACAGTACAACTGATGACATAGAGCAGGTCCTTCCTGATGATAGAGCCACATATGTGGAATATTCTTCCAAGAGGAACTTAACCTGATGCCTTGTTTTTTTGTTATTATTTTATTTATTTATTTGTATCCCACCTTCATTAGTTTTACAAACAACTCAAGCTGATGAACATATCTAACAGGCCTTTCTCTCTTTTCCATGCCCCACAACAACCCTGTGAGGTGAGATGAGACTGAGAGAATCAAGGTCACCCAGCTGGCTTTCATGGCTAAGGTAGAAAGTGAACTCACAGTCTACTGCTTTCGAGGCTGGTGCCTAGAAACCTTTAGCCAGTTTGGTCTAATATTATTATTATTAGGATTTGTAGATGTTCAGACTGGATTTAGCATTTTTATCTACTTATCGAGTCCTTCCCAAGGACCTTGATACTTGATGGTGGTATAGATATTGTCTAATATTACTATAACGCTATCAAACATCCACAACTGCCTATCACAGGTCTGAACATCTGGCCAACTGTGCGACAAACCATAATAATGTTCTTATATAATATTGTTATAATATTAGTATTATTAGATTAAGAACCACAGTGGTGCAATGGTTAGAATGCAGTATTGCAGGCTACTTCTGCTCCCTGCCGGCTGCCTGCAATCTGGCAGATCAAATTTCACCAGGCTCAAGGCTGACTCAGCTTTCCATCCTTTGGAGGTCAGTAAAATGAGGACCCGGATTGTTGGGGGCAATATGCTGACTCTGTAAATTGCTTAGAGAGGGCTGTAAAGTACTGTGAAGTGGTATATAAGTCTGAGTGCTATTGCTATTGCTAAAAACTGTTCCATTTTCCAAGATCTAAACTCCCCTTTGAATCTGTACCGTTTCATATTATTCTTAGAATTGTTCTCTGAATTTGACTGTTTGGCTTCTAATTAATCTTAAGAAAGGGAGGCATGTAATTCTTTTTCTTGGAAGTAAAACTATCCAGTCGAAATTCTTTTGTGCAGACCCATATGGATGCTTAACTGGGAAACAAATGGTCTGGTCTCAGCTTGTTGTTTATATGGCCTCTGGCAAGTGCTTTCTTGAAATACTTATGTATACAACTTGTCGATTAAATTGGGCTCTTCTGTGGATCACATTTTGAGACAAGAAGGTTGAGTCTGCAAGCTTAGGAATCCAGCCCAGGAACAGATAGGGATGACATCCACCCAATTAACCAGAGGCAGAGCTAGGCTGCGGAGGGTCCAGGTTAAAACCTGACCAATAAAATTCCCTCAAAGTCAAAGAACATGCGGCCACACCAAAGCTTTAATAGCCATCTTTACTGCAGTTACAGTAATAGTCTTGAAGGCTGAAAAACACAATTTAAATACTTTTATCAGGGAATAAAGTCCACTGAGTTCAATCGGATGCAATTCTGCCTAGGAATAAATTATGAGGGTGAAGGGAGAGAGTCACTCTGTGATCTCAGGAGACAGGAGCATCTGCTGTGTGTAAAAAAAAAAAATTTAGACAGCAGCTGCAAAAGTTTTCATCAAAGACACACTTCTTTTTTTTGCATGTGTTACATGCAATGCATATAGAAAATATACTCGGGCTTCAACTGACTTGTTCCAGCCACCGTCTTCACTTTTTGGATCTCCTCCTTTGCTGGTGCCTTGCCACAAAAGGATATAACATGATCTTATAATGCGCCCTGATATTTATACATCTGAATGTGCACATTACACATTATGGCATTCCTCCAAAAATTGCTACCAGAAGAGAGAATGTATTATATCTATGATAATTACGTACCTGGATTGTATTTAACTAAACCTAATTGCTGCATAGGTAGCCCTCGAATGACGGCAATTGGGGCCAGGATTTCTATTGCTTAAGCAAGGCAGTTCAGTGAATCGCACCCAATTTTATGACCTTTTTTGCCCTGGTTGTTAAGTGAATCATGCAGTTGTTCAATGAATCTGGCTTCCCACATTGTTGGAAGCCAGCTGGGAAAGTCACAAATGGTGATCGAATGATCCCGGGACATCATAATTACATGCCGGTTGCCAAGCGCCCGAATTCTGATCACAAGATCGTGGAATGGGGATGCTACAATGGTCATAAGTGCAAGGATTAGTTATAAATCATTTTTTCAGCACTGTTATTACTTCGCATGGTTGCTAAACTAATGATTATAAGTCGAGAAATACCTGTAGTGGTTAAAGTGCTGGCGTAGAAACCAGGAAATCCTTATTTTTAGTCCTACCTTTTGCATGAAATCCAGCTAGGTGACTTTCTTTCTCAGCCCAATTCACCTCACAGAGTTGTTTGTGATGCAAACAGGAGGAAGAGAAGGAAGGGGTAATATGTAAGTTACCTTAAGTTACCTGTAAAGTAATAAAGGCAAAATAAATATAAATCAAAATCTAACAGATTTCAATTTTAATTACATGTGAGTTATATAACGTATAACTGAATTTGGTCCTGTGCCTGCCCATTTTCTGGCACTCCACTCAAAAGCCAAGTATGCTTCTAAGTGTGAAAAAATGCACTCTAGCCGTATGCTTGAGAATTCATTGTTTGTCTGAAGGAATAAATCATTGACAAAGAGAAGGCATTGCCAGGTCCCAAACTATTTCAAAAAGAGAAGCTCAAGGCAAAAACAATTAAACACCCCAACAAGGAGGACTAAAAATATTTGGCAGCCACAGAATACAAACCGGTGTGTGTGAAAAATTGGGAGTGGAATTATAACTTTGGGGAATAGGGCCAAAAGGTTTTAAGCAGGGGTGGGATTCAACTGGTTCTGTGGCTGTGGCTTAGTTGGTGGGCATGGCTTGGTGGTCGTGTTATTGGCTGGGCATGGCCAACTCAATATCACTCACATTGAGGCATGCATCTCCTCACCTGGCCTCTCATGACTGTGGGGATGCTGCAACAGTTGTAAGTGTGAAAAATGGTCATAAGTCACTTTTTTCAGTGCCATTGTAACTTTGAATGGTCACTCTACACAAGCAAAGTACCAGCAAAGGAGGGGGGGAAAAAACTCCAGAGATGTTCCTGAGACAGGAAATCTAGTCCTGCCAAGAATGTAATAAGGATTAACAGAGAGGCAGTTTCTGTAAGCAACACCAGAATGTTTCCTTCCTACCTTCCTTACAGGATTAGGCCAGTAATTTCTTCTAACAACCAGTTCTCTGAACTGCTTAGAATGTTAACAACCAGTTCTAGAGAATAGGTGCGAACTGGTAGAATCCCACCCCTGGTTTTAAGGGAGTGCTGGGATGATCATGTAGGGAGAAATCCTGCCCAGTGCCCATTTGCTTTTGGGCCCGATCTTGAAAATAGATGGTTTGTGTTTTTTTGCTTGAAGAATCCTGAAATTGCAAAAATAACCTGGCAAACTAAAGGACTCAAGGAAAAACAGGCCTATGTACCGTTTTACCTCAGAACCTGCTTAAGAACCCAGTAGCCATTATTTTGAAAATAATGTCTGAAAGGTATTCTAATCACTGAATATAGAGCAGAAAAACATTTCTATGGACTAGAGTTCTTTGTTTTTTTCTTTCCTCACAACCAAACACATAGAATTAGGGGCAAGGGGTTAGTTTTTGCTTTGGATTTGCCATATGAAAGAGGCTAAATGTGGAAATACACCTCTTCTTTAGAAAAGAAACGCCAGCTCCCTTCTGCACTGCTGACTTTGCAGTTTTAGCAATCAAGCCCTTACACAAATCAATTATAATTAGTATTTACTTCAAGAACGTCTAGAGTGGGTTAATGCCGCCAAAACAGGATCCAAAGGAATGCAAAGATATTAGCATATCTATATAACTGCACCTCATAAAACCATTTTAGAGCACTGGCAACAGCTGTTAAAACATAGCCATTAAAAAACGATGCTTATTAAAGCAAATATGATGGAAATGGTAGAAAAGGAAACCAAATCATAATCACCATTTAGGAGGAAATGGCTACCTAAAACATTAATCCTTAATTCTTGAAACACCGAGAGAGGGGGCTAAATACACAATTGCAGAAAACTTTCTATACCGTGTGGCCTATTTGGAGATGGCCCTTCCATGCCTCATATAATGGCCCTCCGTTTTTTTCTTTCTTATTACTCATTTTTATAAAAAATCAGGCACAAAGGAGCCCATTTTCCCAACAGTAAGAGTAGAGAGAAAGACTACTCTGAACAGGAGGTCAATACCCAAAATGGGCGACTTGTGCCTCAAAGGTACAGGAAGCCATCAATCCTCCTTTTGCACTCCTCTCACAACTGCCAAAAACCAGCACTATTGTTCTTCTCCCATACTGAAATGAAAGCTGCACAAAAATTATTGCACAGGTTGTCCTTGACTTACAACAGTTCATTTAGTGACCGTTCAAAGGTACAACGGCACTGAAAAAAGTGGCTTACGACCGTTTTTTCCACAGTTACAACCTTGGCAGCATCCCCATGATGATGTGATCAAAATTCGGAGGCTTGGCAACTGGTTCATACTTATGACCCAAAGTCATGTGATCACCTTTTGCAACCTTTTGACAAACAAAATCTATGGGGAAGCCAGATTCACTTAGCAACCAGATTACTAACTTATCAACTGCAGTGATTCACTTAACAACTGTGGCAAGAGATGGAGGCAAAACTAACTTAACAAATGTCTCACCTAACAACAGAAATTTGGGGCTCAATTGTGGATGTAAGTCAAAGACTACCTTTATAAGCCCTACAATAGTCTTGCACAGATGGAACAAATTAAACCTAACCCTAACCCTAACTAACTAGAGCATACAAAACATTTGCTAGACCAAAACTTGAATACAGCTCATCAGTCTGGAACCCACATTGCGTATCTGATATTAATACAGTTGAGAAAGTCCAGAAATATTTCACAAGAAGAATTCTCCACTCCTCTACTCGTTGCAGAATACCTTATGCCACCAGAATTGAAATTCTAGACCTAAAAAAATCTAGAACTACGCCGCCTTCGGTCCAATCTAAGTATAGTACATAAAATTATATATTGCAATGTCCTACCTGTCA